GCTGCTTTATTATGGTGCAAGGTATCTTAGCTGGAAATGAGAAGCCCTAATTGAATGCAGCCCATGTTACTTTTGTCTTGGATAATACACTTCTCTTTCCTGAGCCCCTATTTCCCTATCCATTAAATGGAAATAGTGACACTGAAACTACAAAATGAGAGCATATATGGAAGTTACTGATACATCTAATAATTTGTTGAGATCATGAAGACAGAGATACGTACTTGATGCAGAATTAGATATCCAAAGCCCAAATTGTGACCCCACAGGGTAGGGAACTTATTTGTGATTAATAATATAGGTAAATGTCTTGTTTTGCTTTGTTTTTATAATGGAAACAATTCAGGAAATTGAATCAACAGGAGATGAAGCAGAAGCAGCAACTGAGTTTAGGGCAATGGTTCCCAAATGATTGATAGCAAGCATTAGAATCACTTGGCACATTGGTTAAAACCTGGTTTCTAGGCCTCACCTTCAGAGTTCTGTTTCAGTAGGTCATGGGTGGGGTTCGAAAACCTGCATTTCTAATAAGATCCAAGTGGTGTATATACTGCTGGTCTGGAGAACACTTTGTGATCCACAGCTTTAGGGTAATGGAAAGGAGCAGTTGGAGCTGAAGAAGTCGGAGAAAAGCATCTTGTAAGCATCTAAATGGTCATAAATGGAAAGGGAAGCTCAGAGAGATTCTTGAGAGGGCCCCAGGGAATGTCAATCCTGTTTACAGGACATGTCCTTAGCAGACTTCACTTCAATGACCAGAGGATGACAGACCTCAGTTTGTAAACTAAGAGAATCTTGAGAAAGATCAATTTTGGCCTGGAATTGAAAGAGAAATAAGTTTTTAAAAAGTAATTTCATTATTAGAATTATAAATAAAATCATGCAACAGTAAGAACTTACAAATAAGATCTTGCAAGTAGAGTCAGCAATTTTTACCACAGAGAAGCCAAAAGACTGGAGATGGGCAAATGAAGTTCCATTTTTTAAACCCTCAAAAATATTTTAAAATCTATTTATTGAGGTATAATTTACTTACACTAAAATACATAAATCTTAAAATGTATAATTGGTCAAGTTTTGAAAAGTGGATACATCTGTGTTATCACCCAACTCAAGATATAGAGCACTATCACCCCTGCAAATGTGCTCAAAATTTACCGTTACTCCCCTCAACCTTGAGGCTACCATTCCTGGGATTTCTATCACCATAGAAAAGTTTTCTATGCTAGTAAACTTCATATGCATGGAATCATATAATATATACTCCTTTGACATCTTTCACTTAACATGTCTCTGGGATTCATCCATGTTGATGATCAATAGGTTGTTCCTCTTTATTGTCGAGTAGTGTTCCATTGTATGAACACACCATAATTTGTCCATTCACTTGCTTGTTGGTGAACATTTGGGCTGTTGCTAGTTTGGGGCTGTTATGAATAAAACTGCTATGGCCATTCTTGTGCTACATGTAGATTATACTTTAATAAAGAAAACAACAAATACCAATTATCTATTAAAACATCTTTGGACACTTTAAAAGAGCAAATAGTGATCAACAGAAGTCAAGCATATCACTAAGAAATCATTTCCTTTTCTGACAAGGGAATTTCAAAGATGACACCTGCTGTTTGGAGTTTTAAAGAGCTCTTTTGCTGAATTCAGGTTAATTCCATTCTGCAAGACCACAAGGGGAAAACTATGAAATAGATATCCTGAAACTCCACGATATACCAGGCTCTTTGCAATAGCTGGATGCTTATAAGTTGGCAAATTTGAGTCAATTTGACAAAACTAGGAAGGCAGTATGTATTCCCTAACTTAAGGAGTTCAAGAAAAGGTAATCCATGATTCTCAAACTCAGCTGCACCTGAGGCTGTAATTTAATTGGTTTGGAGTACAGTCTGGGCATCAGTATTTTTTGAAAGTTCAAAGCTATATATAAAATGATCAGCCAGGTTTGAGAACCATGAAGCTACATGACTATTTGTCTGAAAGTAAATTAAATGAGAAATTAAAACTGAGAGGAAGATAAATGGAAATTTTAATTGACTGCATATTATATGCTAGACATGATGCTTGCTGTTTGTCTAACCTCTTTATTATATTAATACTTGAAATCTCTTAGCACAGTGTCAGGCACAAAGTCAGCTCTCAGATGTTTCTGTTGTTATCCTCTCTGTAACCTTATAATGCAGTCTCCAAATGCATCCTAAAACATTAGCTTATACTGCAAGTTTTATTAACCCTACATTATGGATAAGGAAACCAAGACTCAGAGTAGTTTATTTTGGCAAACGCCATACGTGGTAATTATAAAACCGGGATTTAATCCTAATTTACAGCTAGTATGCCTTCTCTGCCCATCAGGTCATATATAAGACATGTAGGTATTCACAAAAATTAGTAGCTTAGCTGAATAACCCTTTCCTTTTTAATTAAACCGTTTCCTTTTACCTGTTCTCAAAGAAATTACCTTAAATACAAATCCTAAAAAAAGTGAAGCCAAAAAGTAGACATCCACATTTTTCCTAATGTGGCTTGATAGAAACTCTTCTATAGGTCTTGACAACCTCTGAGGTCAGAGGGAATGGATTAAGATGGCCCTTCAGAGCTTAAAGCACTTGGAAGTACTGCTTCCAAGTAAAACACCTCACATAATAATAAATGCAGAGAGAGCATACCTGTCACTTCTATATAGTCTAGGATTTTAATTATATAATAATGTTGAAGGAAAGGAAGTCAGTCCTGACGGGGATGGTCAACTCCTCTCAGCCAGGCTGGTCCTCTCTGAGTTTGCTTGTTGATGTTTTGAATGTGTATATTTGCTGGAGAAAAAGAGGAAACATTCAAGGAATGGTACCCCCCTCAATGAGTCTGAGTTCCTCAAGGGCAAAGACAACCTTTATTATCCCATTCAATCCTTACTTATGCTAGTATTCAATAAACAACTACTGCAAGATTACAATTACAGACCACTAATTTTCAAAAAGTATGCTTCTTCAAGTAGTACGCATTAATTGAACTGACTTAATGCAGAGCTAGACTCAGATATTTTCCTTTTCTGTTGCTAGCCAACCGTTAAAATACAACTGAAAATATTTTCTGAACATCATGTACATTTGTAAACTAAAAATAGAGCATTTGGTTGGGTACGGTGGCTCACACCTGTAATCCCAGCACTTTGGGAGGCCAAGGCAGGCGCATCACCTGAGGTCGGGAGTTTGAGACCAGCCTGACCAACATGGAGAAACCCCATCTCTACTAAAAACACAAAATTAGCCGGGCATGGTGGCGCATGCCTATAATCCCAGTTCCTGGGGAGGCTGAGGCAGGATAATCCCTTGAACCCAGGAGGTGGAGGTTGCAGTGAGCCAGAAGGTCGCCTTGCGCCGAGATCATGCCATTGCTCTCCAGCCTGGGCAACAAGAGCAAAACTCCGTCTCAAAAAATAAAAAATAAAAAAAAGAGCATTTTACTTTAGAAAATAGGAATATATGAGTCTTAAATGTTACTAAAAATTAAACCAATATAACTGTGTCGATTTGACATCCAAATCTACCCTACCTGTATCAAGAAAGTGTTGCACAGTACATTTTGCAAAATATTCAATGCATCTGAAGTACTCAAGAACAGTTCATTAAAGAAATTTTACTCACCTTCTTTTTACCCATTGGCCTTGAATTTTAGCAAGATAACCCTTATCTTAGTCACAAGAAGTTTCAGGAGGAGAAAGTATTAACATGTTTAATTTTTAGATATTTTATATGCTTTCAGTTATTCCTCAGGAAGTCAAGAGTCATGCTGTCCTATGTAATTTTAGATTTACTAGTAGCCACATTAAACAATGGCAAAATGAGGATAATTTTTCAATATATTTTAACACAATGTCAAAAATATTTCAACATGCAATCAATATGAAAAAAATTGAGATATTTTAACATTTTTCTTTCCATACTAAGTCTTCAAAATCCAGTGTGAATTTTCTATTTATAGATCTCAATTCAGACTAATCACATTTCAAGTGCTCAACAGCCACTGGTGGCTAAAGGTACGGTATTGGACAACACACATCTAGAGTCTAATCCCCTTCTATCTCCAGTATAATCAACTTAAAATGTACCAAGTGTATAAAAGGCGACCCAAAATTAAGTAGTGCTCTGTTAAAATGCAAGTGAAAGATTAAATGTCAAAAGTGTTTGGACCTTTTCTAATGACTAAAAGGGGAAATATTGTTATTTAGGAATGCCTTTGCATATCTTTTTGACATTTTTCCATTTGCTCACTAAGTCTTTCTGAGCACTAGGTTATTTTGTTCTTTTTCCCCATCTGAGTTATTTTGTCATTCAATATTTATCTGCTGACAACTGTGTGCAAAACATTATACTAGATGGGCCAGGTGTGGTGGCTCACGCCTGTAATCCCAGCACTTTGGGAGCCTGAGGCGGGCGGATCACGAGGTCAGGAGATGGAGACCATCCTGGCTAACATGGTGAAACCCTATCTCTACTAAAAATACAAAAAATTAGCAAGGCATGGTGGCACACGCCTGTCGTCCCAGCTACTCAGGAGGCTGAAGCTGGAGAACTGCTTTAACTAGGGAGGCGGAAGTTGCAGTGAGCCCAGATCCTGCCACTGCACTCCAACCTGGGCAACAGTGAGACTCCATCTCAAAAAGAAAAAACATTATGCTAGATGCAATGAACCATGTAAAATACACTGCATCTCCACTTTCACAAAGTTTCCAAACTGCTAAGAGAGGAAAAGAGTAAACATGTGAAAAACATAAAAATATAATCTCTGTATTTTATTTTACTGTATCACTCTGTCAATTCTTTATCAGTCCTTCCCCAGTTCCCCAATGAAGGAAATGGACTTTATCTTCTTACTCTTTTTCTCTATTTGTGGAATTCACTGTAATGAATAATTATGTGTTATTTTCTGGAACAGAGGTCCCTGCAAAGTACACTAAGTGCATAAAGAAACATTTATCTCCTCTACAGGGAATATAAAGACTAAAAAGCAGAGGAATTACCAAGGGCAGGCCTTGAAGGATCTGATAGAAGAGAGTGGTGAGGAAGTCTGAAGGAAAAAAACGGAAGTTTTCACAGATGAGAAAGTATGAAAATGAGGAATACATCACATATGATAGGTACTCCCTTCATACAAGTTAATAAAAAGAAGAGCCTGAATAACCTGAGAATATAATTTATGGAGATAGAAATGGAGGATTTGAGCAACTGAAGGGGAGGTGGTGCTGCATAAGCTATATGGAAAAAAGTGACTAAGCAAGCAGTTGCAACTGCTAACATTTTAAAGCAAACTACCTTGGAAGGTACCAAACGTACCATGTCCTGTTTTCTTCTCTTTGGGATAAGGTCTATTGCGTCCCTTTAAGGACTTTAATGATTCCATAATTTTTAATTAACATGAGTTTAAGGACTTTAATGATTTTAATCCATTAAGGTCTTTAATGGATTATAGGACTTTAATGATTCCATACTTTTTAATTAACATGAACAATTTCATTCAAGCATAACATTTATGGGTAAGGTGAAAAATAAGAAATCTAGCAGAACAACATGCTTTTATTTTACCATCATGCATAAAAAGGAAGACAAATATGCCAATGGTACACTTCCAATTTGTCAGAGCAATTTCACAGTATTTAAGCAATTTAGGAAAAAAGACACATCACTTACTAAGTTGTTACCAGGGAAAATTATCATGTAAGACAATCAATTAAACCACACTTTTGTAGATTATTTTTCCATGAAGGCAATTTGACAAGCCTAACAAAGACCAAGTTGTTCAAACTATGTTTCTAGGAATATAGTTTAACAGAAACAAGAACAAGTTGAAAACTGTTATGAATATTCATGTCTCTATATTGTACAGGAAAGTAAAGACTATTGTTCTTCCAAATGTTCCCAATTGAAATCAAAAGAATGTCTGCACAGCTCAATTTTCACAATAAGTTTAGAAACAGAAAAAAAATAAGATTTTACTAAATCCTAATGAAATAACAATCTTCCACATGAATCAGGTCACAAAACAAGCAAGCAAGCATTCAAACTTGCGTTGTGTTTCTTTAAAGAACCCTTGTCTAGGCAACATATTTAACACTTTAACCCCTTCAATTCTCCTTTAGCAATCCTGAGAAGAATTTCTCCATTCATCACCATTGAGGAGTAAGTACTCCTACCTCGAAGGCTCTTAACGTCAGCACAGTCTTCATTCTAGGCCCAATTTTTACCTGGCCCATGCCTCTAGCCTTTTGTTCAGTTTCCCCTGCTTAGGGCACCCATCACAATCTCTTTAGTTCCTCCACCCATTATAAACTAGATCTCACCTTTCATCCCATCTAGACGTGTCTCCCTTTAAATATTCTAGGAGCTGATAAAAGGGCTAGGAAGTAGGAAGTTGGGAAGAAAGAAAGTGGTGGGGGCATAAGAGCTTTAGCACTCTATTTTACAGGACAACTTGTTTGTCTCTGAAAATGACAGAACCAAAATGAAATTAAAAGCTTGCTTTTACAAATATTTCTGAGCTAATAGTTAAGAGAGAGGAGTGGGAGGCTGAGGCGGGCAGATCACGAAGTCAGGGGTTCGAGACCAGCGTGGCCAGCATGATGAAACCCCCATCTCTACTAAAAATACAAAAATTAGCCCAGCATGGCAGTGCGCACTCGTAGTCCCAGCTACTCGGGAGGCTGAGGCAGGAGACTCGCTTGAACCCGGGAAGTGGAGGTTGCAGTGAGCCGAGATCGCACCACTGTACTTCAACCTGGGCGACAGAGCAAGACTCCCTCTCAAAAAAAAAAAAAAAAAAAGGCAGAGGAAAAGAGGGAGAGAGGGACCTTGGCTGGGGCCAATGCAGGGCAGGTAGCAATAGAAAGTGACTAGAGGTGAAGGAAGAGCAATAAAGTAGCATAAATCACACAGAACAAGCGGCTCACTGCTTTTCTCCTGAGTTCATTAACGTCCAGTAACTGTCCACAGGGCATGTGCCCTTACTTCACGATGCAGAGCTGAGTAGGTGGAATAGACTCCCAAAGGTAGAAATCCAGGTGATAGCAACCAGTTCAGAGGCCCTGGGAATAAACAGCGTCCAAGCAGTGCAGATAAAGGCAGTACAATCTACAGTATCATTTGCTTGGCTTACAAGTAGCGTGAAGGATGACTTCGTAGCATGTGATATTCCAGAACAGCATGAAGGTCATATGGAAGTGGAGACGCATACCCACCACCGTCTCAATCTTGAGGTTGAGAGAACTGAATATCCAAAGGAAAGAGGGTGCAGAAAAGTCAGCAAAAACAAAACACAGTAGAAGACATACCCATTGCTGATGCCCAAACACAAGTCCAGCAGAAGGTGGTAGGAGACCTTGTGCAGGAGTATTCCCAAGGGCAAATGTTAACCAGACTGGAACCCAAAGGGCCTCGGGATCTCTACTGGCTCCCTTAGTGGGCGACGTCTGGCTCTACGGACTCCTTCACGCAACAGGTAGTATTGCAGTGGATTTGGCCACAGATCCTCTTTAATAATCTCAGCAATTTTGTCGGACTCTGGAAGGCTGTGGTCTGAAAACCAGGTGAAGAAGCTGCAGATGAGGTCTTGGTTTCTGCGAATGAAGGACTGGGGTTCATGCCCCCTGCGCCATATAATTGGAGTAGAAAGAGACACCACTCGGCCGGAGGATCTTACCTCATATTCCTTGACAATCAGCTTGTTTCTGAAGTAGGGGTTTCTTCTAAAGAAGAACTTGAACTTGCAGCCGGTTCTAGGGTGTCTGAGTTCCTTCACCTCTAAATTGGTTATGTACCTTAACATCTCTGCATCTTGGCCCCTAATCATGGCGGACAACTGGGGATGGTTTCGAAAAGCCGTCATCCAGAAGCCCGGGATATTCTGAATGATGTAGTTCCTCCGCTCCAGGTAGTGTCGACGCATCCGCCCAAACTTGTGCTCCAGCTGTTGGAAGGCCCTGTCGGCCTGAGCATTCACAGTGTCCAGTTCCAGCTGGATGGCCTCCAGAGGGTCCATGCGGAGAGCCTCATGCAGAGGCCAGGGCCCGTCCTCCTCCCTCGCCTCCTCCTCCACTCTATCTTCCTCCGCCACTTCTATTTCTTCACCTTCCGGCAGCTGCTCCTCTACCTCCATCTGCTCCTCCACTACCTCCTTCTCCGCCAGGCCTTCCTTCACCACCACCTCAGCGCTCTCCCCCTCAGCCACGGCTGCTGAGACAGTGGCGCACTTTCCTGTCTTCACCTCCTCGGTGTCGTTCTCGGCCCCCGCCCCCGCCGGCAGCTCAGACGCGGATCTCTCGGCGCCACAGATTTCTAGGGCCTTCTCTCCACCCTGAACGCCCTTTTTCAAGCTGCGGTCCACTGCCACCACCACCACAGAAGCGGCTGCCAGGCCCTCAGCGGGAGGCTGGCCCTCTTCCTGCCCGGCTTTGATCGCCACATGACCGCGACCCCCAATAACTCGGATCTGGGGAGTACTGCCACGGCCCGCGGGATCCTGAGGTACGCCCCCCTCCTCTGAAGGCTGTGGAGGCGGGAGCGCGATGGTCTCCCAGCCTCCCTCACCCGGCTCCGCCATCACCTGGGTCGCCTCGCTTTGGTCGCGGAGCTTCAGGCACTGGTGTGCGTCCGGGTCGCTCGGGACGTGGTCAGAAATAATGATGCTGTGGGTTTGGAGGGGAGGGGTCCTCTCGACCCCATCGACGCCGCTCATGTTGGTAACAGTCGGACCAACCGCAGGTGAACGCCCGTTTTCCTCAGAGAAGCCGAGCTCGGAGCTAACCGCCGCTCGCACCGCCCACCCGCCAGTCTCACTAACATCTCCGCGGCGGTGTCGTCAGGGATGCAGATCTCACGGTATCGCGAGAACTTGCTGAGCCCGGGATTGGTTCCGCCGCTCCCTGCCAGCCAACCGGATTCTCTGGGCTTTACTTCTGTGAATTTACCCATAGCAACAGTAATTTTAACTACGTAAATAAATGTAGATTTTGCTGAGTCTGAAAGCACTGACGACCCACCCTGAGATGCATCTGGAGACTGCCCCCAGCATGTAGGAGCGGTTGTAAAATCACAGCCGTAACAGTGCCTGCTCTCCAGTGTCTGAAAACAAATGTTTTTCTGGTCTTCACTTTTTTGAGGCTATTAATCTTAAAAAGAAGTATTTTGCTCCTAGTTACGTGGAGTAACTAATGTTTCCCCCCTTCTTAGTAAAAGTGACATAAAAATGTCAAGTCTAGCCTCTACGATTACTGGGGGAAAAAAAGCTACTCAGCTTCCTTACCACTAAAGCGATGCTTATTATTCATTGCTAATTTTTTATGTATGATCTGCATCAAATAAGAGTTTGTGCTGCATAATATCTGTAGGAATTAAGCCAGGATCAGTTTGCTAAATGTTGTTTCATGCCTCCTCACTGCAAGAAAGAGGAAATAACTATTTCCAGCCCCATGAACTTAATTTGTTATCATATTTAGTTATGTAAGATAGGAATGTTTGGCTCTAATGAAGCATTTGTCTTTAGCAATCAGCTAAGAGTTCATTAGAGGGGAATGTTAATGTCTCTGGTTGAAGTGTTCCAGTTTTTTGACTTGTGAGTTAAACTGGTGCTATCTTAGAGAGTTACAAGGCCTCAGAGAAATATCAGTAGGGGGAGCAACATACCACCATTTTGTGAGGAAAGTCTAGTTAAAATGGACAACAAAGATGGCCTTGAAGTAGAAAACTTGCAAAGGGCAACATGCAGCTGGTTGACTCAAGGCGTAAAAGAGGCAAACCTTATTTTCTACTTAATTTGCTTCGTGTGGTAGTAAGCTGATGGCCCTCAGAGATGTACCAGTCTTAGTTATGTGGCTAAAGGGACTTTGCAGATATGATTAAGTTAAAGGTTTGGAGATGAGAAGATGATTCTGGATTATACAGATGGGCCCTATGGAATTACATTTCTTATAAGAAGGAGGCAGGAGGGTCAGAGAAGATGAGAGGACGAAAGCACAGAGAGAGGGAAAGAATGGTGGAGAATAGGAGGGGGAGGGAGGAAAGGGAAATCGCTGTGTTGCAGGCTTTGAAGATGGAGGAAGGAGCCAGGATCGTAGGAATAAAGGCAGCCTCTAGAAGCTTGAACGGTAAGGAAATAGATTCTATCCTAGAGCCTCCAAAGGAATGCCAACACCTTGAGGTTATTACCTCTAACCTCCAGCACTATAAGATAATAAATTTGTGTATTTTAAGCTATTAAATTTGTGATAATTTGTTACAGAAGCAATATTAAATGAATACACTTTGGATTAAGGTTTGGTTGCATCTATGGGTGCCTCAAATTGTTTCTAATTTGCCCCTTCTACCTTGCTCATTGCTTCCCATGAGTTCCTGCCCAACAGCTGTGATGTATTACAGCTTGAATCTGTCTTTCAATATCAAGACCAGATATACACCTAGGCAATACACAGAGACAAAATTAAAGCCTAAACATACCACAAATGATATCTGAGGAGACCGTAAACTGCAAGAGGACAAGATCATGGTTTTGTTTCCCTCTGTTTATCGAGTGCCTAGCACACTACCTTGCACAGTATCCCATAGATTATTAAAATGTTAAATAAAGGAGCAAATGAGCAGAAAACAGTTTCTCTTGCTTACAACTTGCTGCTTGCAGAAGACAAGTAAGGGGCATATGGGTTGTCACCTGCTCTCCTTCCTATCTGCCACTGGCAAAACAGAGAGCTGCTCTACTGTATATAGTAATAGATTCTTACTCAGGAGAATAAATTTCTACATATGCTTCAAAGGCTCTAAAAGGATAGGAAAAACACAGAGAAAACAATTTTATTTTACAAATAATTTAAGTTTCTGTGGTCACACTGTGTGACAAACAAACTCTGAAAAGACCAGTATATTTAGGTGAGTTTACATATCAAAACCTCGGACTACCAATACTGTATTTCCAATTCTTCTCTCCTTTCTGGAAAAGTTAAGGTAATCATTTCAGGCCTTACTTCTTTTCTGTCGAAAGAAATATAGAGTGCTTTCTTCTCTACAAGTGATGGAGCCTGTTATGCATGGCTGGAATTACTTTTGGTATAAATAAAAAGCAATAATGGAACTTTTCACAAAGTCTGTTTCTAATTGCCGTGAAATCATCTTCTATATTGAACTGGTATAATTTCATTCGGCCTAAAGTGGAAACTTTTATTATTCCAATAAGCCTTCTAGTTTTTTAAGCAGAAAAGAGTGTCAGGCTTGGACCAATCCTAGAATGTAGATGACTTTGTCAAAGAAGCCGTTATATGATTAGTGTAATTAACACTCTTACCAATGATGCTAGGAAAACTCTAATTAGGATCATGTAAGTATAATCAGGACTCTGCTGAATGTAATTTCCCCCAAATAGCATTGAGACTCTTTAAAGGAACTCTTCCTTCTCTTCTTGTCAGAACATTTGTAAAGCTGTGATAAGGAATATTTGAATGTACAGAGAATGTGAGATAAAATTAGAAGTACTGTATCTCATGTTCTCTATATACTAGAAGAAAACCACATTAGAGAAGTGATTATGATTAAAACTATTCTTTGTAGGTAATGGAAAGCTCAGGTTACGATTGCTTTTGGACAAGTGCTCAGGAGAAGGGTCAGTAAAGGGCAACGATTTTAGAGGGAAAAGCAAATATGCATACTTTATGTCCTATTTTTTTTAAAGAAAGAATCTTTGCTTAGAAGGAGGAACTCTCTAGGAATGTCAACATGCATCAAGGCTCACGTGCTCAGGGAGTTATTCTGCCATACAGGCAAAGCTGTGGTTGCTATTCAACACAGAATATCGATTGTACTTATTATAGTAGGACTATTACTTGTGGATTTTTTGTTTACCTTTTTGTATCTAAAAGGCTTAAAAAGGGTATCTGTTTCTTTTACATGACACAGGTTATCCTGCTATCTGAGAATTCTCTTTCTAGGTAGATATTACACATTCTCTAAGGTTTACCAAAAACCTGTCTTACTTTAGAATGTGCTAGGCATTTTACGTGCATTAAATTGTCAAATTTCGTAAAAGAGGAAACAGTAACACTGAGAGGCTAACTAACAAGTCATATATACAGTAACTGGTAAATTCTCCCTTCTCCTGGGTGCCTCTTTCCTAAGTACCTATGGCTGCTTAATCTTCCTCACCTGAATTCCTGCAACTCTTTTATGAGCTGCACATGCAATTTAGCACTTAATTATGCTTTTCCTCTTAGTGACTAGTTGATTCACATGTGTCAGTCTCATCATCCCAGCATTCCAGCATCATCTCATGGGATGAGAGCACAGTTGCAGCTTCTTTTGCCTTTACTCATCATAGCATGGGGCTCAGATTTGGGTAGATTCTTTTTTTTTTTTTTTTTGAGATGGAGTCTCGCTCTGTCGCCCAGGCTGGAGTGCAGTGGCATGATCTTGCCTCACTGCAACCTCCACCTCCCAGTTTCAAGCAATGCTCCTGCCTCAGCTTCCCATGTAGCTGGCACTACAGACGCTGGCCACCACGCATGGCTAATTTTTGTATTTTTAGTAGAGACGGGGTTTCACCATGTTGGTCAGGCTGGTCTCGAATTTCTGACCTCAGGTGATCCGCCTGCCTCAGCCTCCCAAAGTGCTGGGATTACAGGCATGAGCCACCGCGCCCGGATAGATTTGGGTAGATTCTTAACAATATTTGTTGATTTGAATAAAATAAACTTTAAATTATCTTACAAAAACTAACAGTGTATCTGTACCAGCATTATATTTTATTTGCAGAGGAAATATATTTTGACTATGCTTCATATATCACCTTTTTGCACTTTAAAATATAGGATAAATTGGCCCATGACAGAGCATTTCTGTGGCAATTGACAAAAAAACTTCACACCCCCAAAGATAGTTGAATCTTTCCTAATACGGTTCTATGGGAAAACATCTGCAAAAAGCCCTGAGGTTTTTCTCCATAATATCAAGGAATCATAGATTCTTTGGGAATGATTTCTTGGGTAGCAAGGAGTTTAGCAGAAGTTCAGACATTTTTGTTTTGCAGAAAGGTAGGTTTTACCATTATAATTAATGATAGCTTTCACTTATTTACTGCTCCTGATGTACCAGCCACTTTTATAAACAACATCCAGTATGTCACATCTTTTAGTTGTCATAAGAACACCATGAGGTAATGCATTTATGACCTTCATTTTACTCAATAGGAAACCGAGGCAAAGAGAGACTGTCACTTGGCCAAAATGATACAGAAAGTAATAGATCCATGATTCGAACCCAGAAAGTTTGTCTCAAAAGCCTGTACTCTCTGAATAAGCATGAACTCACTTTTTAAAAAATTATTATTATACTTTAAGTTCTAGGGTACATGTGCTCAATGTGCAGGTTTGTTACATATGTATACATGTGTCATGTTGGTGTGCCTGCACGCTGTATAACTCGTGTTAGCTCTGTCCATTTACATGTCGTGTATCTCCCCCTAATTCTACACCATCCCTACCCTCCCTCCACCCCACCACAGGCCTCGGTGTGTGATGTTGCCGACCTGGTGTCCAAGTGTTCTTATTGTTCAATTCCCACCTATTGAGTGAGAATATGCGGTGTTTGGTTTTCCTGTCCTTGTGATAGTTTGCTGAGAATGATGGATTTTCGCCAGCTTCATCCATGTCCCTACAAAGAACATGAACTCCATCCTTCTTATATGACTGCCATTACGACTATCCATGATGTATATGTCCCATTTTCTTTATCCAGTCTTATCATTGATGGATCAGTTTGGATTGGTTCCAAGTCTTTGCATGATGTCTGCAATAAACATAACGTGTGCATGTGTCCATTTATAGCAACCATGATTTATAGATCCTTTGGGCTATATATCCAGTAATGGGATGCTCTGGGTCAAATGGGTCCCCTTCTAGCTCTAGATCCTTGAGGAATCGCCAACACTGTCTTCCACAATAGGTGAACTTGTTTACCAGTCCCACCAACAGTGTAAAAGTGTTCCTATTTCTCCACATCCTCTCCAGCACCCTGTTGTTTCCTGACTTTTAATGATCGCCATTCTAACTGGTGTGAGATGGTATCTCATTGTGGTTTTTGATTGCATTTATCTGATGGTCAGT